AAACCCAACCCAACCCAACCAACCCTACACAACCAACCCAACCCAACCCAATCAACCCAACCAACCCAACCAAACCCAATCAACCCGACCCAACCAACCTAACCCGACCTAACAATCCAACCCAACCAACTCAAGCCAATCCAACCAACCCAACTGGACTCAACCCAATCAACTCGACCCAACCAACCCAACCCAAACCAACTCTGGCCCCACAGACACTCCCACCAGACCCCAGGCTCCAGGTTGCTGGGTAAAGAGAGCCAGTGCAGTCTGTGAGGCACTTACGTGTTAGCCAGGTGGGTGGTGAAGACATACACAAATTGTGAGGGAGGCTTTCCGGGGACACCACTGCCCCCGGAGGCATCTGGCCGCAGGGCTGCTGGGGGCCCGTGCGGGGGGCCTGGGGCACTGCCCTCACTGAGGGGAAGCTGGGGGGTCTGGCCGGGACCCAGCTGTGGGGCCGCCATGGCAGGGTCTCCTACATTACAATCTGCAGGGAAGGGAAGGAAAGAGGGTCAGCAGTCCAGATTTAGAAAGGAGAACTAGCTGGCACCCCCATCGCCCAGAGGCGCCAAGGGAAAGGTGCACTGTGGAAGGTGGTGCCCACGGGGCCCTTTGCTGCCACATTCTGGTGGTTTCCCAGCTTGCTTTCCACACGTACTTGCCCTAGACCAGTCTTTGACCAGGATGGCAATCGTGGGGACCATGTGGATGAGAAGAAAGGGAAAGGTTTGGCACCCCAAATGCGACGCCCACAGAGTCTGCGAAACCTGCTCTTAGCCCTGCTCCATCCTCATGCCCTGGTCTCTGCGAGGGGAGAAGGCAAAAGGGTGCACCAACTGAGGATTCAGACGATGAGTGATTTTTCACCACTAACTAGCCCTACCACTAACTAGCTGGCTGTGTAAGCTTATGAATAAGACACAGTCCCTCTCAGCCTCAGTTCTCCTGTCCTGCATAAGGGGCAGTCAAAGAAATCTATTTTTTGTAACAAGTTCAAAGGCAAGTCACAAGCTAAAAAACCACCGGGGCCGAGTGAGTACAGCTCAGCAGTGGAGTGTCGGAACTGAGCCACGCACCAAGAGCTCACTGGTTCATTCCCAGTCTGGGCACGTGCCCAGGCTGTGGGTTCAATCCCAAGTAGGGATGTGCAGGAGGCAGCCGATCAATGGTTCTCTCTCGCTATTGATGTTTCTATCTCTCTCTCCCTCTCCCTTCCTCTCTGAAAAGCTAACATTGTTCTAAGTGTGTTATATGTACCAACTCACTACATATCAACCCTATGAGGTAAATATTTTTATAGGCGAATAAACAGAGGCCCTTTTCCCAATTTATACAAATAATTAGTGGAAACCTGGTCTATAAACCAAGGTGGTCTGAATGAAAAGTCTGTGCTATTCACTCTGCATTATACTGCCCCACCATTTAGAACTCTTTGAGAGCCTGGCTGGCATGGCTCAGTGGCTGAGCACTGACCCAGAAACCAAGAGATCACAGTTCGATTCCTAGTCAGGTTTGGCTCAGTGGATAGAGCATTGGCCTCAGGACTGACGGTCCCAGGTTTGAGTCCGGTCAAGGGCATGGACCTTGGTTGTGGGCACATCCCCAGTAGGGGGTGTGCAGGAGGCAGCTGATCAATGTTTTTCTCTCATTGATGTTTCTAATTCTCTATCCCTCTCCCTTCTTCTCTGTAAAAAAATCAATAAAATAGATTTTAAAAATAAATGTAAAAAAACATATTTAAAACAAAAAGAACTCTTTGAGAATCTAGTGGCAGGCAGTACAACTAAAATAGTACTAATGGTTGCCTTGGAACTGAGTATGAGGTGTTAGCAACATCTTCTCTGTATTTCCCAGTGTCTCCCCGCATTTTTACAATGGTGCAGGCTAGCATCATAAAAGTCAATGTGACAGCCCAGCCAGCATAGCTCAGTGGTTGAGTGTTCACCTATGAACCAGGAGGTCATGGTTCGATTACCAGTCAGGGCACATGCCCAGGTTGCCGGAAGCAGCCAATCAATGATTCTCTCTCATCATTGATGTTTCTATCTCTCTCTCCCTTTCCCTTCCTCTCTGAAATCAATTTTAAAAAATTACTTTTTTAAAAGTGAATAAGATAGAGGAGGGGTATCTGTCCTTAGAGGCAGTGACCACCCTCATCTATCAGGGAAGGATTCAGCCAGGGGCTCATGAACCGAGCATAAGAGGAGTGGGCACCCACCCACACTTTGTCCTGGTGATGTATTCTGGGCACTTGCCAGGAGTCAGTTAAAGGTCAGGGAGGTGCGCCAGACACAGCCAGTGTTAGCTCACACCCGGGAAGGGCGGACATCAGAGCCAACTGTCCCACTCCAAGTGATGCTGGACTCTCGCTGTCCTCCCTCCACTGACCAGCAGGTGGCAGCACAGGCCAGCAATTCTTGGAGGTATAAGCGCAAGAGCCAGGAGGGGCCACCTGAGGTTCACCCCACCCTGCCTTGGGCCTTAGGAAAAGGGGGGCACTGAGCACCGGGAAGGCAGGGGCAGAGCTGTCACAGTGCAGGGAGCAACAGTATGGAGGTGGGATTAGAAGGAAGGAGCCTGGCTCCTGGCCCTTGCTCCCTGCCTGCCCAGGCTCAGCACTCTGAAGCCCGAGGTGAGGGGAGGAAGGCTCCCTTAGGGCAGCCATCTCCCAAGGGCAGCGTGGGCCACAGCACCCTGGCATGATGGGCACTCACTGTGGGTGGCCCCGATGGGCTTGTCGTCCTCCTCGCTGTCTGGTCCTGAGCACCATTCGTCTCCGCTGTACGGCTGCTTCCGCTCCAGCACACAGCGCCGCTTGCTCCGGGGTGCCACCTCTGCTGGGCAGGAGGGCAGGCGGGGCAGAGTGAGCACCTCAGCCTGTCCTCCACCTCCAGGCCCATTCTCCCAGATACCCCAGGGCGATGCCCAGGCTGTGGTGGGCATTTCGCCAGCCCTTGGCCCCCACCACACCACCATTTGTTCCTGATTTCTCTCTACAGCCCCATGGCCTGCCTCCCCTCCCCCAACCAGCACCAAGCACAACTGGTTCTAATTAAGGCTGGGGCGGGGGAGGGGGAGGCCCCTGCTACTCTTCCAGGCTAGTGGCTGCAGCAGCTCCCACCAGCCCAGACCAGGAGGCTCCTGGGGGGTGTGGGCCTGCTCCTCCTCACGGAGCACCTTCCGCCTCCCCCGGAGGTTCTGGTGGGACAGCCGGAGAGGAAGAGGCTGACCGGGAGCCCCACCACTGGGTGGCCCCAGCATGGGTGGCACCTAAGGATGACACATCTCCCCCCTGGCCACTCCCAATCCTGAGAAAACCACCGGTGGGTGGGTGTAATGGGGATAAGAGAAAGGTGTCCCCACATACATGCTGGAGAGAAGCAGGGGATGAGGACCGGGAAGGGGACAGAAAGATGGGCTCCGCGCAAGTGTGGGCCATGGGCTGTCGAACATGCTGGGCTCCTGGGGGTCAGAAAAGGGGTACCTTTGGCCTCTGAGTCCAGGGAGGGCGTCCCAGCCTCACGCTGCTCTCCAGAGTCCACAGATACACTCCGCTCCCTCTTCACTTTGCCCTTGAGCGAGCTGAAGGGGGGCCCCCCGGCCTGGGCCTGGGCGTTCTTCAGGCTGGAGTTGCTGGGTGAAATCTGGTTGGCCTTGGCCCCATGGTTCCCCGCCCCCACACCCTTCGAGCCCAGGTTGCAGGTGGGTCCTTGGTTCACATTCTGATGCTGGGATTGGGCCCCACCATTCCCTGTCTTGCCATGATTGGTCAGCTTATTTTCTGGGTGCATTGGTTTGGATGGGGCAGGGGGGCAGTGGCCACGGGGGGACAGTGGTGGGCTCCCTGGAGCTTCTCTCCTCCTGGGGTGGGGCAACCTGGGAGAAGGCGAGAGAGACAGGAAAGGTTAATCGTGACAGGGGCTTAGCACGCCTGCCCCTCCTGCCTCACCTACTGGGAGGGGAGGGAGGGCTGAGTGGCATCTTAAGATGCCCAGCTTATTCCGACCTCCTTCCCCTGCTCCTCAGACAAGGGCTGATGCCATTCACCTTGGAGAGTGAAGATGGGGCACCCTCCACCCTCAGTGCCCACAATTCAAATGAAAACCAGAGCCTTTGCTGGCAGATCCACCCACACCCCAACACCCCTCAGGCTGCAGCCTCCAGGCACCACCACCTCACACACTAGCACCTGACCAACACTTAGCATCCTCTTTCCTAGGGTCTGCTGTCTGGATTCCTTCCAAGGTCCCAAACCTCAACTTCCACGTGTCCCAGTCCAACAGGGAGGGGCACAGGACCTGAGGGTCACTACTCATGCCCAGCCCCGGTCCCCGGGGAAGTGGGGAAAAGCACCACCGAGTGGTTGGTACCCACTGGTCCAGACAGCTCCCCAGAGCGGGAGGGGAAGCCTCCAGGGGCCTGGCGGGCAGGCGGGAGCCGGAAGAAAGGGGAAGGGGAGTGGTGTGTGGAGCAGACTGGAGTGCAGCTCACAGCCAAGGATTCCAAGGCTGTGGGCCCTTTAAGATCCAGCTGGCTCCCCCCACCACCTCCCCATCCCCGGAGACCTATTAATAGCCGCTGGAAAGATCACATCACCGGGAGAGGATATTTATCCCCCTCATTCCTCACCAGCTCGGATTTATTTCAGCTCCGCTGTCCTGCAGCCGCCTGGCCTGTCTGCAGGCTCTCCTGGGGAAGGCAGGAAGGCTGGCCACCCCCTCCCAGCAAGACCCGGGCCAGAGGGCACCAGGGGACCCACAGAGGGGTGGGAGGTAGGGGTTCCACTCAAACTGTTTCTCAGCAGAAAAGGCTGAAGGGACTACACAGCAGGCCTAGCTGGTTGCCATTCCCCTGCCCCAGGGTCCAGGCACTCAGGCTGGGCTCCTGGCTCAGGGCAGGCCTTCCCATTCGGACCCCCCTTGAGCTAGCTGGGTGCCAGGGAGCCGGATCCCCCAAGCCAGCACAGCTCAGCCCCATGGCTCCTGGGCCCCTCCCTTCCCCACACTCCACACACACGTCCCACCCTCCATGACACCCACACACCTTGTCTTGTTAGCCAGGATCCTCATGGCTCCCACACACAGTGGGGCTACGGCCCCTGCGTGCCCAGGGCCCAGCAGGTACTCGGTACTGGAGCAGGGACTGCAGCAACAAGCCCCAAAGAGAAAACTTGTGACTTGGGGAGGGGGTGAGGAGGGGAGGGGCAGAGGGAGGACCCAGCAGCCTAGACTAGGGACCTGGACAGGGTGATGGAGAGGAGGACTGCTAGGCGGGGTCTGTCCTAGAGGCTAGTCCTAGCCATCCCGCCCGCACTGACCCGCAGGGAGCTGGCCTCTAGCACGGCCCGGCCAGGCGGGGAGCACTGGAGAGAGGGGAGTGGAGCTGAGAGGCCTCCCGGACCCGGGATCAGTGTGACAGGGGGCAGTTCCCAAACCCCCTGATCACCCTGCAGCTCTGTGTGTGACAGGGGGCAGGGCCACAACCTCCCTATCTGCCCTGCTCTGTTTGTGACAGGGGAAGGCACCCCAACCCCCTGATCAGGCCTGCTCTGTGCCTGATAGGGGGGAGCTCCCCAAACCCCTGATCACCCTGTGGCTCTGTGTGTGACAGTGT